TCTATCTATCATACATACATACATATATATATATATGAAAGTATGTATAGACACACACACATATATATATATGCATGCAGGAGGACGAGGGAAAGAGACGGCAGAGCGGGGGGGGGGGGGCAGGGAGGTCCTCCACAGGCAGCACGTAATTATCTGCAGGAGAGATGGGTTAGGGTCATTAGCCTCTGTTGAAAGGATTAATGGGGGTCATTAGCCCCTCTGGGAAGGATTAATGGGGGTCATTAGCCACTGCAGTAGGGACTAATGGGTAATTAGTGCCCCGGGCGGATCATAATCTTCTTCTGGTTGGAGGATTAATGGCACATGCAATAGTTATGATAAATTAACAAGGAAATCAGTTGTTAGCGGAGGCAAATGCGTACCTTCATCTACAAATGATCAATCAACCGATCGATTGTGATTTGCGAAGTTCTGGCTTCGCCCGGGCCTTCGGCTATGGCCCGGCCTGTGTCAGCTTTTTAGGGCTGACTCATTTCGATCTAGGGCTCTCGGTGCTTACCGTGGCGGTGGGATTGCCAGCAGGCGCTCCTGCTGCCACGGGGTAAGCGAATCGCAAAGTCTCTTTACCAGCACGGCGGCTGTTGTCGGGTGTCCCTGTCTCAGGAATTGTGTGTGTACACAATTCTCTAAGTAATGTATAAGTGTGGCGTTCGGCTCGCCGCAATGCATGCAACACCTCTCTTCATGGACAATGGTCTCAATTATCTGCCATTTACAGTGGTAACCTAGGCGCATTCTGTGGAGAATGACTTCGGTTTGTCTGTCTTTTAGCTCAGAGAGTGCCAGAGGTTCATAGCCCGTTGCTTCTGAATACCATCTGGCCGAGGGGGAGGATCTCGTTGCCTCTCTGTGAAGCTGCAGGAGGAAGGAGTTGGCGACACCAGTACTCTTCATCCGAAGTAAATTACGGCTAGGTGCAATGATCATGGGACTAGGGGGCATACCCCTGCCAGAGACTGCTAGTCTGTCAGCAAGTTCGTTCCCTCTGATGCCAATGTGGCTAGGGACCCAATTAATGATGATTCTTCTACCCTGAGCCAGTATTCTTTGGGCTATTGTTAACATTGTGGTCAGGAGGTAGATATTGTCTTTGGGTGAGCTGAGCTTGAGAGAGTCAATGGCTGCCCCAGAGTCAGTGTGAATGACTACGTGTCCTCCCAATGGGGACGCGTGGGCTAGGGCTTCCATGATCGCAACGGATTCTGTCTGTAGCGAGGAGGCGTTGTCTGATACCCTCATGGAGCGCATGGCATCCCTTGCTGCAAAGCCGGCGCCTGCAGTGTGGTTGGCTGGATCGACCGATCCGTCCGTGTAGTAAGTTCTACTACCCGGGGGGGTGATGGCTGATATGACCCTGTAGGTCTCTGCCTTTAGACCAGGCGTGGGATATTCGATCTTTTTGAGCGCTAATCTCATGACCGAGAACTCTATCGAATTTTGTGCCCACGGCGGGGCTTCGACAAAGTCAGGGTGGGGGGAGTCCATGCCCTTGGTCAGGAGCTGCTCTTTGAGCTCAAAGCTTATCAACACCCTGGCTGTGTGGGACAGCCACGTGTTGTTGGCAAAGAGCTCGTTGTCTTGTTCCAGGCGTCTGGCTAATTTTTCTCTTAGGCTCGTGTTCCTGGGAGCCTGGAGGACCTTTGCAAAGAAGTTGGCTGCCATTTGATCGATTCGTGAGTCCAGGGGGAAAAGGTTGGTCTCCATCAATCAATCAACCAACTACGAAATTTCAACTGTTGACTGAAATCACACGATAATAACCAATAGCATTATCAATTTCATGATTGAATGAACTAAACTGACAGCCCTCGCTTAAAATAATAAAATCAAAGATCGCAATATACGGACAAAACAAGAAGAAAATAGGACAATATGGCGACCAGAATGGCAGAATGACTACCAGAATAATGGCAACAATATGACTATGACAACCAGGATGGCACATGACTACCAGAATGATGGCAACAATTTGACAACCAGAATGACAATTTAACAACCAGAATATCATGGCAACCATAATGATACTGTGGCAACCTCCTTTTCTCCTCTCTATTTCCCTTTCTTTTTCTCATTTTTCTCTCCCTCCTTTTTCAATCCCTTTATATTTATTTTTCTTCCTTTCCATCTCTTTCTCTCCCTTCATATTTCTCTTTCTCTCCCTTCCTATTTCTCTTTCTCTCCCTGCATTTCACTCTTTCTCCCTCCCTTTGTCTTACTCTTTCCCTTTTCATTTCTCTTTCTCCCTCCCTCCCTCTCTGTCTCTCTCTTTCACTTCCTTTTTCTTTCTTTCTCTCTCTTTCCCTTCCTTTTTCTTTCTCTCTTTCTCACTCCATTTATCTTTCTCTCTCCTTCCTCCCTATCTCTCTCTCTCCCTTTCTATTTTTCTCTCGCTCCCTGCCTTTCTCTGTCTCTCAATCTCTCCCTCCTTTTATCTTTCTCTCTCTCCCTTTCCCTTTTTCTTTCTCTCTCTTCCTCCCTATCTATCACTCTCCCTGCTTTTCTTTCTCTCTCTCTTTCTCCATCCCTCTCTCACTTTCTCCCTCCCATTCTATTTCTGTCTCTTTCCCTTCCTTTCCCTCTCTTCTCCGTCCCTCTCTCTGTATGCTGTATGGAAATTCTTTCCTTCTTTCGTCCTTTCTCTCTTTCCTTCTTTCTTTCTTTCTAATTCTTTCTCTCATTCTCTCTCTCCTTCTTTCGTTCTATCTTTCTCTTTCCTTCTTTCTTTTTATCTTTATTTTTTAAATTCTTTCTCTCATTTTTTTTATTCGCTATCTCTCTTTCTCTCTATACTTCTTACTTTCTCTCTTATATTTTCATTCGCTCTCTCTCTCTCTCATTTCTTTCATTCACTCTCTCTCTCCGTACTACATAATAAACTCTCTTTTCCCATGAACTGAAGTACGACGTGGCAACGTTCTTGTATTCGTACAATCCTGTATCATTCCTGTACGCATCCAAAGTATTTCCCGCCATATGTTTACCGTTATTGCATGAGAGCTTTCCACGTCTCTGTACATATGAGAAGAATGAAGTATTTGATTTCTTCCAGTGAAATTGATATTTGTTCATTCCTGCCAATACATTCCGCGCATTTCCACACGTCTAATTTCATCCTTTTAAAAGGGTTGTGGAAATGCGCGTGATAAAGTGGCAACACTCGGCATGTGTTGCCAGTTTGCTTGTTAAAGTAGTCCATGCAATGACGATTTTCACCATTTCACTCGCTCATTTCCAAGAAGCATTCAGATCTGCCATTTCTTGCAAACAGTCCAGTTTTTATTGACTTGTTCTTTACCTTGTTCTTGTTCTTACTTAATTCTTACTATTATTCATGTGTTTTTTATTATCATATGATTATCATCATGTCAGGGTATTAATGTCATTATTATAATCATGTTAATATTGATATTAATAGAGTAATTGTTCCAGTTATCATATATTTTCGGATCTTTATTTTATTCATTTTCATTGCACTTAATTTCGTTGTACTAAATCTCCCTAATTTATTCGTATGCTTTTTTATTGCTATTACATTGACTTTTATTATTCATTTTTCACTATAATTGTTATTGCTATTAACATTATTTTTGTAAATAATATTACTATTATCATTATCATCAAAGTTTCTCATGATATTAATGTCAGTTGAGTAATTGCTACAGCCATCATATATTTCCATAATTATATTGTTTTATTCTTACTGCAGTTTATGCTATTTTACCTATTTTCGTATTATTGCCTTTTCGCTATACATTCGTATGTATTGTTATTACTGTTACATTCATTTTCATTTTCACTATATCTTGTTATCATGACTTTTATTTTCTCCATTCTCTTTGTCCTTCCCTTCTCTCTACTCTTCCTTTCTCTGTGTGCTTCTTCCTCTCCCTCCTTTTTCTCTTCTCTCTCTCTTCATTTGTTTCTCCTCTTCCTTCTCTCCCCTCCCTTTCTCTCTCCTTTACCTCTTCTTCGCTTCCTCACTTTATTCTGCCTCTTCCTCTTCCCTGTCTCTCGTTTTTTTCTACTCTCTCCTTTCTCCTTTCTATCCCTCCCTTTCCCTCTTCCTTCTCCTCTTTCCCAGCCCCCCTTCCTCTATTCTACTCTCTCGTTTTCCTTCCTTCCCTCTATCTCTCTTCTCTTCCTCCCTTATTTCTTTCCTCTAATTCACTTCTTCCTCCCTTCTCTATCTCCACTACCTTTCTTCCTTTTCCCGGTTTCTCCTCCCTGTCCACTATCTCTTGTTCACCTTCCTCTCCTCTTACACTATTTTGCGTTTTCCTCTATTTTTTTCTCATTTTCCACTTTTTCTCCTGTTCCTCTGTCTCTGTCTCCTTCTCCTCTTCCTCCTGCTCTGTATCTCAATTCTGCCTCTTATTTCATTTCATATTTCTTTTTCTCTTCTTTTCTTTCTATTCTCTTCCTCCAATCCCCACTCTCATTTTCCTTCTTTACATCTCTCTGTCCTCTTTCTCCTTTTTTTATCCTCTCTTTTCTCTACCTCCCTTCTGTCTTTTCCCTTCCTCTCTCTTTCTTTCTCCTGTGTTCTCCCACCTATCTTTTCTCTTCTTCTCTCTGCTCTTCTTCTATTCAGTTTTCCTCCCTATTCCTCATTTTCCATTTCTCTGCTCTTTTTTCTTCTTTTCTCTGCCTTTATTCTACCTATCTTCCTCCCATCACTCTTTCCTGTCTCCTTTTGCTCCCTCTCGCTGCTATTCTCTTTATCCCTTCGTTTCTTTTCCTCTTCTTCCTTCCTCGTTCTCTCCTCTTCTCTGCTTCCTCATTACCCTAATTCCCATCCCCATTTCCATCCCCACTTTTCCTCCATTCCCAGCCTCCTTTCCGTCACCCATGAACACGAGCTTAATACAAGCTTCTTCCTCCCCCAGGCAAAACTCCCATGGACTTAGCAGCGCGTCATCCGGCTGCGAAGCAAGTCCTGCTGGCGTACAGGGTAAGGCCGTGCTTTGCGCCCCAGTTGCTGTCATCAGGTTCCGCTTTGGCTGCGGCGCCAAAGCAGTGTCCTCGACGCATTCCTGAGACTTTTCTCTTGCAGGACGATCCCGAGAAGCAGAGGAAGGAGATGAAGAAGAGGTACGACTCGAAGGTGGCGGAGGCAGCCACCCTGCAGAAGGAAAATGGAGAGTTGAAGAAGGAGCTTCAGGAGAAGGAAAAGGAAATCAAATTAATGCAGGTACGTGCAAGAGACACAGAGAGGGAAAGAAGAGAATGGCACAAGCAGATGCAAATCAAGTGCTCGATTCTGTTTGCAACAACCTAACCAAGGTAGACCTTTTCAGGAGCAGGTGAAGCAAGCGCAATTGCATCAGCAAAGGTGTGAGACTGAGGCGAGGGAGCATGAGGCCGAGAAGGAAGGTCTCAACCAGCAAATTGCAGAGCTTCAGGAACGCAGTGCAAGTAAGTTGTAATTAAGTTGTCGGCTGTGTGATCAAATACAGACTTGCAGTTATACTTCGTTGCATGCTCGTCAATATATTAAGAGATGCATGTGTGTATATTCTTAAGCTGGCACTGTATAGACATGTAGCGCATCCACCGGTATGTGTATACCTAGCTGTCCTTATCTCTATGTATAGATGCTGGGCGAGTGTATGTAAATGGACAGACGAGTCGAAGTAAATAAACAGGGGGATACACTCAAGAGAAAGACGGAGACAGACAGAAAGGGATAGCATGAGTGAGTGAGGAAGGAAGAGAAAGATACAAAGAGGTGATAGATAGAAAGAGAGAGAGAGAGGGGGGGGGGGAGGGCGAGCGAGAGCTAGAAAAAAGTGAGAGGAAGAGATAGATAGTGTAGATATGTGATATATTAGTGTCTGTGTATATAGCATAGCATAACACGTACACCATTGTCACCCTCTGTATCATATTAACCATGCAACTATCTACCTCCATTCATGTAACAACTTGTTTGCCAGTGGCATGTTCCAGTAACAACACGCCCCAGGCAGAGCGTCGCCCGTGAGCTGACTGTCCGGTCGCACACCGCAGTGCTCCTCTGTGTACTTGAATATAGCCTTGATAAGTGATCCCTGGTTTCTTTTGAACCTACAAGCATATCCGGCAAATTGTCACACCACAGATAGAAGATGATGTGTATATACAGAGATAAATAGAAAGAGATAGACACAGAGGGGGGGTAGACAAGATATGTAGGGGGAGAAAACCAGACAGCAGGGGTTGATGGATAGACACTCAGAGGCAGATAAATAAATAGATGAACAGATAGATAGAGGGAGAGGATGAAGAGGGGAACAGAGGAGAAAATAAGTTATCCTTGCCTTCCCCCGCAGTCTCGTCTGGAAGAAGAATGGAGCAAGAATCGAGAGCTGACGAGGCAGATCAGAGAGAAGGAGAGCGAGCTCACACGAGCCGAGGTAAGTTCTCCCTTTGGAAACCGAGGAACCATTGAAGTGGGCGCACGCATGATGATATGAAGAGAGAATGCATACCATCAACAAATACCTGTTTTATGACGCAGTTCTCATAAAGGCGTTCGTTTCCAGGCAGAGCACAATGAGAGGTTGAAAAGTCTCCAAAGAGGGGAGAAGAGGAAAGAGGAAGAGGCAGACGAAGAGAGAGACGAGCTTGAGAGCGAGCTCAGGAGACGAGACAAAAGGATCAAGGCCCTCAAGGTAGGGGCGAGCTGGTCTTCGCACACACGCGTTGATGGTGTTGATGGTGGTAGCAACCAAATAGAGACTAATGTTAATGCCAAAAATGACAGGGAAAATAACCTAAGAATTGATGTTTCCAGAAAAAGCTCAGAGATCAAGAAGAGGGAAAAGAAATGGACTCGCAACCCGAAGAGGAAGACAGCGAGCTAAAGCGAATGAAGGTAAGTGTGTCTCGCGTCCAGACGCATCCCTCTCCGTCGGGTGAAATGAAAGCTCATTTGCAAGCAACTAAAGGCTTCAGAGCTGAAAGCTTCGCTTAAGAAAGAGGAGAGAAAGGGAGGCAAGGGATCAGATCTTACCAAACGGTGATGAAACGTAAGAGAAGAAAATAATGTCGTTTCTTAATTTCAGAGGCAGTTAAGAGAGCAAGAACAGAAAATGAAATACGTTCTTTCTGCGGTGGAAGACCTTCATTTGAGAGGAATGGAGGCAAGTTGTTTCTGTAATTATAAGTTTATATATCTATATCTATCTATCCATCCACACTCACACACACATACACACTTATATGTGTGTGTGCATGTATATATGTATACATATGAATATATTATATAGGTAGGTAGATATATATGTAGAAATATGTATATATACATACATATACATGTATAAATACATATGTATATATACATATATTTAATTAAATATATATATACATATATCTAATATATATATATATATATATGTACATATATATATGTGTGTGTGTGTGTGTATGTTTGTGTGTGCATATATATGTATATATAGATATATATACACAAATATTTATATATGTCTGTGTGTATATATATAAATGGACGTATTTGTATGTATATATATGTACATATACATATACATACATATAATATATATACATATATATTCTACACATATATACGTATACATATGTGTATATATATGTATATGTGTGTATATATGAACACTTATACATATGAATGTGTGTATGTATGGTTGTATGTATATATATACACACATGTGCATGTGTATATGCATACATGTATATACACATGTGCAAGTATGTGTGTGTGCGCACGCGCATTTGTGTATTTGTAATTGTAAACACTCGAATGAAGAGAAATTCGTCCACGATAGAGTGTGGGAAATCCTCCCAAGGTGTTACTAACGCGCTTCTTCTCCTGCCGGACCTGCAGCCGCCACGTGAGCCTGAGCCGACGGCCACCTGCCAGCCCTCGGCCTCAGGCAGGAGGAGGAGGCCCCGGGAAGCTGCTGGCAGCGACGAGACTCCGCCAGCAGCTGCCACGGACAGGATAAGGGGAGCGGCAGGCGGGAGAGACAAGCCTCGGCAAGCAGCTGGCAGCCGAGGCAAGGCTAGGAGAGCACCAGAGAGCGACGAGCCTGTGCAAGCCGCAGGCAGGGCTGAGCGTCCGGAAGCAGCAGGCAGGAGGGAAGGGGCAGGGCGAAAGGCCAAGTCTAAGGGGGCAGCTGACAGGGACGAGTCGCCACAAGACGAGAGGGACGAGTCGCCACAAGACGAGAGGAACGAGTCGCCACAAGACGAGAGGGACGAGTCGCCACAAGACGAGAGGGACGAGTCGCCACAAGACGAGAGGGACGAGTCGCCACAAGACGAGAGGGACGAGTCGCCACAAGAAGACGACAGCGAAGAGTCAGAGTGATTTCATCCAGCTTCGTAAAGATCGTGTGTAAAATAGCTAATAACTATGTAGGGTATATATCTTTTTCTCTCCATTTACCACGTGTTTATACTATTGATGGTGACTACAAAAATAAAAAAACAATAATTATAGAAGTAATGATAATCATGATACTGATAGTAATTATTAAAATTATTACATTAATGATAATGGAAATGATGATGACGAAGAAAATAAGTTTCATGAATCTGATACAATGATATTCATGATGATAATGACATTATTATGACATTTATTTTACTGAAAATTATAACGTTTATAAAACCAACAAAGTTGATGATAATTCAAATCTGAAGAGGAATGAGAGAGGAAGAAGTAAGAGAAAGAGCGAACTGGGCAATCGAAGGGCAGGTCAGGACAGGTCAAGGGGTCAGGCGGTCAGGCCAAGTGTGGCCGGCATAAGGGAGCAGAGTCTCAGGATGGTAGAAGCGAGACCCGGTCGGCTTAATAACAAAAAAAGCCCAAGTATATATATATAAGTATATATACATATATATAACTAAATAGCCACACACACACACACACACATATATACACGCGCAAACACACACAAACACATATATACAGTAAGTCCCCAACTTATGGATATAATGGGGACCGAGAGGCTGTTCGGAAGTCGATTTGACCGTATGTCGAAAGTCGGGTCTCTATTCCCTTTTTTCCCCATTGTTTTAAAATTTTGTTTACATTAAGAATGCCTGTACATAAATCCCAATAAGTACGACGTACCTTATACAGTACCTGTAATATATAATGCTTTTAATATTATTTGATGGTGATTCATACAACTTTAATGTAGAAACATAATTTATTCAAAAAGAAAATATATTGTAGTGGTGACTGGCAAATAAAAACTCTACAAAACTCTATGCTCTGGCAAACAATGGCAGTGCGCCGACTTTGAGGGCGTGAGTTCCGTACATCAGGCCGAATCACTGGCTCGCCGCGCTTGGCGCCGCCGCGGCGTACAGCCGCACGGCACTTTTCGTGCGGTTTCTTTCACGCCTAGCGGCGTCACTCGTCGTGAAAGGGTTCTATTATTTGATGGTGATTTATACAACTTTAAATGTAGAAACATAATTTATTCAAAAAGAAAAATATATAGTTGTGACTGGCTGACAAACCGATTGATAAGATCCATAAAGTTATAGCCTGACGTTTCTTGGCAATTCCACTGGCTTCACCGTTTATCTTTCTCTTCGCACCCGACATTTTTGATGGATTGATGCACAGGTAAAGCGAATTATGGCACCAAAATTGTTGGTACACAAGGACTCAGTGAAGAGAGGCTTTCGTGTTTATGGCGGGAGGGCAGGCGAGTGATGCACACAGCTGAGTGAGCGCGGCGGCGTCGCGGCGTGGCAGACTCGTGAACTGTATTCGCGCCCGGGAAATGTGAAGTTTGCTAGCATCTTTCAAACAATTTTTTGGACTTAAGTATTTTTAAAAATTTGTTCATATGTACGGAATGTGCGTAAGTAGAATGTTCTTAAGTAGGGGACTATCTGTACATATATATACGCTCACAAACACACACACACACAGAGGTAGTAGATGTCATTCCAGTCGATGAACGTATAATGGTATTGAGACTGAAGCTTTCATTTGGCTTCATGTCTCTTATTGTTGTGTACGCTCCTACGGATGTATTTAAACTTGAGATTGCATCTGTGGCAGACAGTTGTCCTCGGCGAGATATTAGTATTGTTCTGGGCGACTTCAGTGCGGTAACCGGCTGTGATCGAGCTGGCTACGAGATGTCTGTCGGTCTCCATGGCTCAGGAGCTGATGCTGGCAGCGAGAATAGCCTCCTTTTCCGTGACTTTGCTAGGTCCCAGAAATTGAGGATCTCTGGCTCCTGGTATCAGCGTTCTGACCCGCATCGATAGACCACATCCATTCAGCACTCGGTGGAGGATCCTCCAGAACTGCAGGGTGTATCGAAGCGCCGAGTTCTGTGGAACTGATCATAGTTAGCTTGGGGGGCTACTCTCC